AGCGCAGGCTGCACAGGACCGCGTCCAGGCGGGTCTTGAATATCTCCAGAGAAGGAGACTCCACAACCTCCCTGGGCAGCCTGGGCCAGGGCTCCGTCACCCTCAGAGGGAAGACGTTCTTCCTCATGTTCAGTTGGAACTTCCTCTGCTTCAGTTTGTGCCTGTTGCCCCTTGTCCTATCTCTGGACACCACTGGAAAGAGTCTGGCCCCGTCCTTCTGACACCCACCCTTCAGATATTTGTAGGCATTTATAAGGTCCCCTTACTCAGCCGTTCAAAGAAGGCCTTGAACCAGACGACTGCGGTACGCTCTGCCCTGACAATAAAGCGCGACAAGCGCTGAGACTTTCATTGCGGCGTACTGCGTATGCCGGGGCCGGGCACGTGCCTCTGAATTAATGCGTGGTGTGTGGGGAGGGTTGAGGGCTGTGCTCCAGAACCGCACGCTGGAGAGGGAACGCTGCCCTTCCCAATCGCTCCCTTCTGAGGGAATTCGGTGTGGCCTTCAGCCTCCAGCACCCATGTTGGGTCTGTATCCATAGTTCTGGTTTTTTTTAAATGTAGCTCATAAGGGTTCTCTCTAAAAGGGTTTCCCTTGATGCTAGAGCCCAATTCATTTTCACTGATTGAAAGTGTCAGCCTGTAAATTAATTGGACACTGCCAGCTCATGTGTTCTCAGGAGGCAGCATTTGAAGGAGTAACGGGTAAAAATATGGCCATGCAAGTTGCTTATTTGTCAGCGAGATTCAATAAGCTGGATGGTATTATAAAAAAAGCATTAACGTTCCTATATTTCTTATGACGGCATTTCATTTCTATATTAAAGATTTTGTAGTGTGCCTAATTTACAGAAAATCTGAATGCGTTGCAGCATCACCTTGAATCTTTGAAAGTTTGGTGAGATTTGTCTGCAAATTACAGGCATCAGAGGAGAGCATCCTAGGGAAGGAGCATGGAATTCTTGCCACAGCCATACTGCTTCTAGGTGTCTGCTGCTGGCCGCTGTCAGGATGTGTGGCTAGATAAAACTTTGGTCTGACCTGGTATGGCTGCTTTTATGTCACTTTTTTGTAGGCAATTACAATACTCTACAGTTTTAAGATTAGTGAAAAGATGCACACTAATCAAAATCAGAAATTTTTATTCTTAACAAATGTGTATGTAACATCTTGGGTCAATTTTGATACACGGTTTCTGTTCTTGTTTTCTTTGCCTTCTCTGTGGATTTCAACAGATGGCTCTGTTCTGGGGAGGCTTTGATATCTCCAGTTGTATTCAAACTGGCTTTGATCCTTGGGGTCCATCATAAAGATTCTTCTTAGTTATTGCTAGGTTCTTGTGTCAATTAATCAAAATCATTAGACAGTGCTCAAGTTCCTCTTTAATGACTGGCCTTTTGAGGGGATATTTTGCATTGAGGGGATATTTTTAATTACTAGCCAAATGCTTACAAAGTCCTAAGGTATTCTTGGAATTTTGGGTGTATTATGATTTTGGAAAGCTCATCACCTTGGGAAGAGGGTTCAGTTGTACCAGCCTCCCATGTAGAAGTTTCTCTATGTATGAAAAAGCTGACTTACTAATTTGTTTGTTTCTTTTTCTTTAACAGCTGAAAGCAGATGTGGTTCCAAAGACAGCAGGTAAGGCAGCATCTCCAGAATTTCATACTTAAATATTTGAGGTTTAGATTGCAATTTGCAGGAAAAAGAATATTCTTTTACCTTTTGGAAACTATGCCCCTGTTCACAGTGATAGTGAGGAGTTAACATTTGTTGTTGTTCCAAATAATTTCATTTTGTAATTTGCACCAAGACAGTGCAATCCATATGTTGAGTTATCAGTAGTGAATAAATATGTTTAAAAACACATTAGCTTGCATTAAAAACAAACCCCAAAGCAAATGGGAAAGGGTAAAGCAAAGGCATGGCATCTCTTAGAGTTCCCAAAGAGCGTATTGGGTTTTGTTTTCCTGGTTGCTAGCCGATTAGTGCACTCGTGTTACAAAGTTTTTGTGTTTTGTCACGTGCTTCCTTCCTCATCTGCTTATTTAGTGGTTCTGAAAAACTTCTACTTTTCTTTCAGTTCCCAGTAGATGAATATCCTTAAAAAAAACCAATAAACTATAATCTTCACAATTGCTATAGATAACAAAGGCATAAAAGTCAGAAATGAAACCTTTGGTTATAGAGTGGTGGGTTTGGGGAGGTGTGGGGGTTGGAGTTGAGACAACAGCAAAAATAAAAAGGAGATGAGACTGAAAAGGGTTGTGTTTGTACCCTGTTCTGAGGCTGAACAAGCTTTGTTTCCTTAGCTTTATAACAGGGTTTTTTTGAAGGATAGAAGCAATTGAGAAATCAATAATACCTTAAAGATACTGTGAAATTTTTGAAGTGTATAAACTTGGGACATAGTTAATCTAGTTGTGTTTGATTATATTGCATATCATATATGGCAACATAATACTTCATGCTTTGTTTTCACAGAAAACTTTAGAGCTCTTTGTACTGGTGAAAAAGGATTTGGATATAAAGGATCCACATTTCACAGAGTGATTCCTTCATTTATGTGCCAGGTAATGTGGTTTTTTTTACTTTTGCTATTAAATTTATTTGTACATTATTCATATATTTTTAGAACCAGTTAGGCTAGTAGTAACGTTTTAAGTGGCTCTGCTCTAACCTTTGCTAACTGCAGAATAAAGAAGTGAGAGTGTGCCTTGCATTTCTGATCTTTTTTGCTATGGCTATTGCTTAGTACATCTTTTGTACAAATAAATGTAAACTATGTGTAGACGGTCTTACAAAAACGTGGGTTAAGGCTTTCTGCTTCTGTATAGCAGAGTACTTCAGTGCGGGGCACGTCTGGCAAAATGGCACTTGCTTGGGAGAAGCATTTGTGAGTAGGACAATCAACCTTGTGTTCTAAGTGAGCTAAGGAAACAGCGTGTCCATTCTTTATTCCTAGTAGAATAATCTGCTCACAACAGAGAAAGTGTTTTTAATTTTTTTTTTTCCCTGAACGTCTCCTTAATATGGAGGGGAAAAGAGAAACCAGAACCATTGGTTGGGGTAGATTTTTGGGATGACACACCTGAAATGGATTTTGTTTTGATTTAAAGGAGGAATAGTTCAAAATTCAGAATTGAAGTCCATGCACATCAGCATTTTTTTCTTAAACAAACAGCAGCAAGAACAACAAACAAAACAAAAACAGAAAAAGCCTTTTTGAAAGCCTTCTTTCTGCTGCGCTTGGCAGATGAGCAGGATTTCTGTGCTGTGGTGATTCCTGGTGGTCCTCCCCTCCCTTAGAAGAAGCTAGGCTTCAACAGTGCTGCATTGTAGAATGGGTTTGTAAACAACTTGGGGTGAAGGTCATAGTAAGAGTGCTTTATTTATGAACTGATGACTGTGGTGGTCCCCTATTAGCACTTCCTTTCTAAGTGAAAAATACAGCTAGTGGAACAAGAGGCCCTAATCTTAGGACCTTTCTACTAAGAGAAAGGGGACAAGTGTGCTGTAAAGGACCTGTTTTCTTTCGTTTCAAATGAAAACTAAGGTTTTATGGTACTGGCAAAGGGACAAAGTTTAAAAGTCTTGCTAGGCTCAGAAATAAGTAAATATAAGGAAAAATAGAAATCCTACTCTCAGTTCTACCACTAATTTATGGAGTTCTGTGTAAGTCAGTCCTCTTTGCCTCCCTGTTTTGTCCCCACAAATGGACCTGAAATGAGGATACAAGGTGGCTGATTCTGTGATACGTCGAGGTGATGAATTAATGTTTAGGAATTACTTGGAAGTCAATACCACAGTGGAAATACTGTCATAGGTTTCGCATATTTTAAAGTGAGAGGAAACAGTGGAGGCCGTTCCACTTGTTGAGGTGGAGTGTTAACGTGATTCAGGCAATTGGTATAGCCTAATTGGAGGTCATCACACCCAGGACCTGGCAGTTCAGGTGCCTCCGGGTGGCATGCAGCATGCAGAGCATGCTTCTGGGACTGCGCAGGAGGGCTGTAACACCCATCTGTGACAGATTGCTCAAGGTAAGAACGGGAGGATGAATATTACCTGAAATACTGGTTTGGTAGGTGTTCTTTACCCGCATGGGTGGAGTAGCTGTGGGTGGGGTTTTTTTTGTTTGTCAGGTTTCGTGTGTCTAACCTGAGAAAGGTGGTCATGTCTATCGCAGCAAGCAGCGCGTCACTGAGGGAAGTTTAAAATAGCTCAGATGTAACACTTAAACAACAGAACATAGAAATAGCCAGTAGTAATAATGGAGATCCTGAGCAGTGTTTATACCTGTTGGGAGAAAGGAAGAAGGGGGGAGGGGGAGAAGTTCTCAGGTCTTGCCTATGGTAATGAATCTGGGTGATTTTGTTGTGAGGCCTTTGAGGTGTTTCTTAACATTACTGCTATTTGTTGCATCACTTTTGGATGTGCTGGTAACAGACAGATGTTTGTTGGAGTTATGGCTGTCATTTGGAGAACATGAGCAGTACCTCGAGCAGAAATTTACTTTTAGCTTGGTTGTATCTTCATCTAGTTGCGTGGTTTTAAATCCTCATGTGACCATACTCTTTGCCATTTCTGTTTCAGGGTGGTGACTTTACAAATCATAATGGAACTGGTGGAAAATCCATTTATGGCAGTAGATTTCCAGATGAAAATTTCACACTTAAGCACGTAGGACCTGGTAAATAAACATATTCTTTCTACCTTCTGATAACTCTAACCTGTAATGAAGCATTGTTTATCGAGATGTATTTTTAAAAAATAAGGTTTTTTAGATGTGTGGGGCACTTGGTTATTACAGGAACATTAAAGTTTAACAATGCATCGTGCGTGGCATGTGCTTATTGGTGTAGGCTGCTGTGCATATGTAAGTCAGCCTCTAACGGGTGGCATTGCCACCCTTACTCTTACTATAAAAGGGACTGTGCTAAATGAAGCGTGGGATTTTTTGTATTTTACTTACAAATACTACAAAGGTAGAACTACTGCTTTTATTTTCCTCTTTTGTAAGTCATATACTTCAGTTTGTACTTAGATGATAACCGCAGAAGTGAAACAAAGGGACCTGGGATTTCTTACTTAGTAGACAACACAGGCATGTCCTTTTAAGCTCAGATTAGATCCAGAAAAAGTAAAGGAAAAGCCATACATAAGAACATCTGATTGAATTCCATAGTCTTTTTTTGATTGTTACTTCCCCATCCCAGGAAACTAATGCTGCTGTTGAACCACAGTAGAGGTTACCTGATGTACAACTAACTACATTACTAACATTCTTGCTGTGGAAAGAGGGAGGCTGGGCTGGAGGGAATAGTCCAGGACAAGAAGTAAGCGTTAGAAATCGTTCGGAGACAGCGTGAGACCATCACATCTTCTGTCTGTCCACCTTTAGTTTAAGTGTGCATAGCAAAATTGTCTTCTCCGCTGCATACTTGTTACACCAATCTAATGAGCTGCTGTTCTTCTAGGGGTTCTTTCAATGGCCAACGCGGGACCCAATACAAATGGGTCTCAGTTCTTCATTTGCACTGCAAAAACTGACTGGTAGGTTCTCAGCCCTACGTATTGCCCCAACGAATTGATGCTTGAATGCGGAGGGTTTGGGGTTTTCTTAGGGTGGATTTTGGTTTGTGAGTTGATGTTTGCTTGGTGCTTTTTTTTTTTTCCTGATTTCCAAATTACTTGACTCACAGTGGAAAATAAATTGTTTTGTGCTACTTGCGGGAGGAAGGGCTGTGAGGGTAGCAAGATTGCTATCCCACAGAATGCTTCTAAGGGCCACAGCTAGAAGTATTTTGTGTCGCTTGCTGTAGAGTTGGTCAGCAGGTGAGAGCTGTGAAGATCTGATAACATCACTTCACTGAGCTCAGCTTGGTTCAGTCTTTGTGTTATTTCAAGTAAAACTGTTTTGATTTATTTGTCTTGCAGGTTAGATGGAAAACATGTTGTTTTTGGGCACGTGAAGGAAGGAATGGATGTTGTGAAAAAAATTGAGAGCTTTGGTTCCAAGAGTGGAAAGCCCTCCAAAAAGATTGTCATTACTGACTGCGGCCAGCTGTCCTAGCCTTTTGCCCTACCATTCAGGACAACTTCAATGCTGTGAAAAATGAATCGTAAAAATCCCCAAGCATTTCTGATCCCATGAGTAGCATCTATGGAGCCATATTTTCTATTTAACTTTGTTGATCTTTTATACTTATATTGAATAACCTTGATTAAAAGCATAAAGCAATAACTGAAATATGTTTTAACTGAGCTACCTTGGTAGTCACGCTGTCACACTGATTTTGAGTCCCACTGCATTTTGAAAGTAGTAGTATGGTCACCCAGAGCATATCCGACTGCAGCGTTGATACTGTTCTTGGCATTTGGATGTCTCGGGTGTTAGAATCGGTGGTGGCATTAACACCTAAGTGTTCTATAGGTGGGGGTTAGGTAGAAATTGAGAAATACCATGTTTCCTTTGGTGCTAGTAATGCCTGTTCTGTTGTTCATCTTACCGTTTTGAAAAAACGATGCTAACTAGTGCTTTCCAGGCTGTCTGCAACATGACTGTTGGACTCTTTCTGTGTCTCGGTTTTAAGTCTATCCAAGAGATTTAATGTGTGGTTGTGGGTTTTTTTAAATTAATTCTGTTTTAATAATTTTTTTCTTGTAGTCTTAGACCACAGTTTAAAACTGAACTCTACCTTACTTGCTTCAATGGAGCAATTTGAATCTTGGGTTAAGTCAATTGCATTAGGTTGAGTTGGCCTACTACAAGAACTCTACCTGGGCAAGACGAATTAGCCAAAAGATCATGGTACTTTTTTATTATGCAGCTGTGAACTTACTTGAAGCATGGTTCTGCTCTGAGATCTGGTTCTGTGAGGAATACAGTGCGATTCTCAATAGATAGCCTATTTTTATAATGGAGTATAGGGAGCTTGCTTGAGTGAGAAATAGATTTCATTGCATTTTTGTCCTTTTGGTTACCTGGATTGTGAAGTTTTCTCATGCATCATCAGCAGAAATCAAAACTGGTCACCACGGAATCACAAGGCCCAATTGGTTCAGCAAAATCATTATTCTTAGGGTTGATGCATGAGAAGGAAAGAATCAGTTGATTGGATAAACACGTTTTGTTTGTATGAAGCGGTATGTTTTATGTGGAGTGCTTGAGCAGTAACGAGTGTTGGAACCTCACGACATCACTTTTAGAATCACTAAAGCTGTAAAGTATTAATGCTTGTGGGGAAAAAAACACTTGACTATTTTTGTGCAATAATCTTGTTAGTAAAGATAAAAATAAGATGTGACGGCTCTCTTCAAATGTGAATTTACTTCCATTGCATTCAGATAATATGCGGGTTTAAAACTATTTTGCACTGGATTTTTTCTTTTTCCACTGAGGGCTGCATTTGTGTCCACACTGCGAATACTACCGTGTACAATTTTGCAGAAAATGGAATTGAAAAGCTTTTGAGTCTTACCACTATAGCCATTTAATCTTTCTTTGTAGTAGTTTTGAAGTATTGATTTGTGCTGGTTTGCCTTATTTCAGTTTGATAGAATAATTATTTTTTTGTGTGTGTGTGTTCTCCTAATTTGTATACAGAAAATAATTAAATGGAGTTCTACCACAAAAAGTCTGTTCCTTTCTTAGATATGACTTTGCACGCTTACTTGACAGAAGGAGTGTGTGAGGAGCTGCGACCTGTTGTGTCGACTGGTAGTAGTCTGCTGCATCGGCTTTGCGATGGGCCCGACCTGGTGGTGTTGGGAAGCCATGCTGTCATTCAGAGACAGCCAACAAGAGGTGGGGTGTGGGTGCCACGCTTTGCCTCTCGCTGGCCAGCCCAAAATACCTGCACATGGATTGCAGTTCAGGGCGTGAGGCTGTTCTCTCGTCTACTGTATTCCATCAGTCTGCTGAGAGGAGGAGGAAAGTGTAAATTCACTGGTTGTTGGGGTGGTTTTTTAAACTTCTGAAATCCTTTTCTGAAAAGTTGTGAGTTCCAGCCTTTTGCTGGACAACTGAGGAGAAGTTCCCTCCTTGCTGTGTGATCAGAGGTGACATTAAGAATTTAGCGTCTTCCTGTGTATCAGTGCTAGTTGTGGACTGGAAAGTCCAGTGGGAGATGCTTTGCCACAAAACACTCCCATTTTCTCAGAATTGTTTGTTAAGACTTAAGTAATGGTATTGTGCGTGTTACAATGATGTATTAGACGCGGCTGTCGCTTGTGGAGACACGTTTATGCCCTGACTTCTGAAATGTAGAAGCCAAAATTTTCCATCAAGGCTCACAGTCTTAACTAGACAATAAAAATTAAGCCCCGCAAAATCGCTGTGGTGAGTAACACTGGTTGCTGTGTCCCCATGGGGCTGGCTCTGGGTTCCAGGTACTCGTCCTCTGCCAGAAGACAGTCTTGGCTGCTGGGGTACATGGAGCAGTGGTAGCATGAGTCCTAAACAGCTCTTCAAGTGTTCTTCTGTGAAGTGTCTTCTGCAAAATGGATTTTTCTGGGGTTCTGTTCTTCCTGCTCTCCCCTCCTCTGTATGTAAAAAGGTGCAGAGCTCTATTCCGGTGTAAGCCTTACACCCTGCAGCACTGCAAGGGTGTTCCTACACTGAGAACACCAGACTACAGCTTGTGCTGAGTACCCCTGAGCTCATTTTAAGAGGTGGCTGTGGCACAGCAGGACACTACGGCAGGGCTGCAGGACCTGGGCAGGCTGGAGGGCTGGCTGTCGGTCTCGGGTGGCTCGTCCACTTCCCTACGCCAGCCAAAGTTCCTGAGTAAGGACACGGAAACTGGCCTTGGCTAGTAATTCCCTGTCTGGTTCTCAGGTTCTGCGGGATCCTATGTGCCTGTCTGCCTCCTGTAAGCGCTCTTGTATCACAAACAGCTCCTAGGAGAAGAGGGATCTCCTGCAGCCTTGCTCGGTGGGTTTGTTGGCTTCGGAACTGCGGGCTGGAACAGGAGAAGGGTTAGGCAGAGTCGCCGCTCACTTGTGCCTTCCTTACCCTAGGGTTTTGTACCCCTTCATAGCAAAAATGATGTATTGCAGAATGGTAGGGCTTGGAAGGGACCTCTGGGGGTCATCCAGTCCAACCCCCTGCCGAAGCAGGGTCACCCAGAGCAGGCTGCACAGGACCTTGTCCAGGCGCGTCCTGAAGATCTCCAGAGAAGAAGAATCTGCTTCACAGCTCTGTCACATACAGAAAAGGACTTTGACTTCTGAATTTAATCCGCATCAACTGTGAGACAGGAAACTGCCCCAAATGATTTTTTTTTAAATACATTTAGATGTTAAATGGGTATGTCTCTGCTGGTAAAAAGCACTGATCCTAAGGCAGTTCAGAATAGGGTTCGTTTTGAAGCAGCTGGGTGATCCCACAGTAATGGATATTGTTGATGCCTATATTAAAAATGTCGCTAATGGCTGCCGCGGGGGCTGCAGCGCGGCGTGATTTGCCCAGCCCGTTGCGCCAGGGCTGAGTGTTAGAGCAGATCTTTGCCCTTCTGCTGTAAGGGCGGGGGGGGTGTGTGTGTATGTGCGTGTATATATATATACACACATATATATGTATCTCCCCTCGAGATGGCGCCAGGCAACCACCCAGTGCACACGGGGCCGCCGCCTTGACGTCAGCGCTGACAGAGGATGCCTTTTGCTTTAGAGCTGGAGGGAAAAGGCATCTGGGATGGCAAAGCCGGGGCGAGCAGCGGTCCTGCCGGCCGCAAACCACCTGGTACTATCCCTGGGACAGGGCTGAGCGGCTTTGGATCCCTCCCGGAGCGCCAGGAGCTGTGCTTGCACATCGTGCTGGGCACAGACCCCGCATCCCGTCAGCTTCGTGGCGTAACCATAGAATCGTAGAATGGTTTGGGTTGGAAGGGACCTTAAAGATCATCTGGTTCCAACCCCCCTGCCATGAGCAGGGACACCTTCCACCAGACCAGGTTGCTCAGAGCTCCATTCAACCTGGCCTTGAACACTGCCAGGGAGGGGGCAGCCACAGCTTCTCTGGGCAACCTGGGCCAGGGCCTCACCACCCTCATGGGGAAGAATTTCTTCCTTATATCTAAGCTAAATCTGCCCTCTTTTAGTTTACAGCCATTCCCCCTTGTCCTATCACTACCCCCCCTTGTGAAAAGCCCCTCTCCATCCTTCCTGCAGCCCCCTTCAGGTACTGGCAGCTGCTCTAAGGGTCACCCCGAAGCCTTCTCTTCTCCAGGCTGAACAGCCCCTAACGTCTGACCCAACCACACCTTGTCGTGATCCCTGGCCCACCAAGGTGCGATGGAAGGTGTGAACATGGAGCGTATCCTCCAAAGCAGGTTTTGAGGGTTCTGCTGAGCAGAAACCCTGCACAACTGGAACACAAGTCTCAGAGGAGAAGGAACGGCATCCGTGGTTTGGAGAGGAGCTGAGGGAAGGCGGCTCTGCCGCTGCAAGTCCTCACCTGGGTGCTTAAGATAAAACATGCTGGAAGGCAGTGATACTCGTAAATGTAAAATTTCCACTTACTAGAGTAACTGTGATTAAAGTAGCGGCATCAGGAGGTTGTGGGGGTCCATCCCTGCTCCTCTGGGGCATGAAGAGCCTGTGGAGCCAGCTTCATGGTGAGGAGTGCCGACCTGCTTCCACGAGTAAGTGAGGAGCAACGCTCTCAGAGGGTACCCTTAGGCAGAGTGCAAATAAATACACACAGAAAAAATGAGTTTACATTTCAAAGCTGTTTCAGCAAACCCACGAATGTTTTTGTTTAGTCTCGTGTTTTAATTATTTGTTCCAGGCTTTCTGCTAACATAAATTGCTTTCTTTGGTGCTAGGCTGAGGCCGTGTCTCTTTGTTTACAAAGCTGAAATGCTTTGAAGTAAAATGTTGTTCTCTTTTGTAGCCTCTGCTGGTAGCAGTGTATCAACAATCAGAACCTCAAAGAAGTTAATGACTTGGAGTACAAATCATTTTATGTGACATTTCAAGGACAATTTGGATGTCCTGCTGCTAGCTGACAATCTGTAGTTAGACACTTTCCACCTAGTTGAGAAGGAACCAGGCTAAAAAGACATTGACCTTTAACTGAAAAGCTTTGAAATCTTAGACTGCAGATTTTTGTACTGAGTCTGGCTCTGTTTAAAGACGTTGCATGGACCAGCTGATCATAGGTGAATTTTGGCCCGACATCTTCACAGCCCAAACCATCAGTTTGTTGCACTGTTGAACTGAAAACTGAACCTTGG